ATTATTCTATCAAATTGCTAACAGAAGGTTAGAATGTCATTTTTTGTTGCACAGTGTCTGTACATACCTATTTTTCTATCATAGGTTTTATGTCCAATTTCTCCACTTCTGAATAAGTTTTAGACAAGATACAATATATGTTTTTATATATTTCTTCAAAGAATAGCTATCGGGAGATATAAGGAAATCGGCCTTATACATAGACGTATAATATATAGACTGCGCGTTTGGCTGAAAAGATGTCTTCAACGTTGAGAGAGACAACATACTTTGAATAGTAACTCTTTCTCTGTCTATCATTTTCCCCACTACTTTGCTAGACAAAGATGAAGCTACTATTCAACACCAGCTGTCTCTCTCTCAACGTTGAAGACATTTTCTTAACATGGCAAAGGTAGGGAACGCGCAGTCTATATATTATACGTCTATGGCCTTATACGATATAGAATACGATATATATATAGTAATTATCGACGCCATTTTGTTTCAGATTAAACATTGGCCAGACTCTTATTTCCAGGGACTCTAGTCTAAGGTACTAGCCAGGGTTGATTGCGTCGCCATTTTGGTGGTTTGGTGCCCTTTTGGCTCAGTGGACCTGCAAAGCTAGTCCATACGCCATTCTACGTCTTTTTGATGATAGGTTAAAACCGTAGATTGGGTTCCTGACACCAAGCCACGGAGTCGTATATTTGTTAAATTAACAGATAATAATAAGAAAGTGGTGTAAAACACCGACAATTGTCCAAAAATATTCACAGTGCAACTACACACATTCAACCGATACGGCTCACAGCAGGGTTGGGTTATTCGAGCATTATCTAGAGTTTTTTACATTTTACAGTTTTTCACGGTAAAATACGTAAAAACCGTATAAAATACGTATAAAACGTATAATATTTATCGAAGTATACTATTATGTTTGTAGAAATGCAAATTACATTTGTCAACAAAGTTTTTAAGCTTGTTGATTGGCCTAGAATAGAAAAGTACTAGAAATTCAAAAATTTCTTTATCCTGTAAGGGCCATTACACATAAAATTCCTTGATAATTTGGATGACAAAAGTTAGCTGCCAATGCAATTGGAGTGATTATTTTATTAATACTAGGCTTAATTCGATAAGTGAGGTTGTTGTTTAATGTTTCTAAAGTCAACCAATCTTCAACAATATCTGCAAATGTTGTACATGAATTTTCACATTTCTCTATAATTGAACTTATTGATCCATACAAGTCCAAAAAATCGTGTAATTTTTGCTCGAATGTTTCGTCGAAAAGTATACTGACAACAGTTCTTTTCAATTTATATAAATTTTCGCCGACAATTTGTCTCATAGCTGCTAAATTTTTTTTACAAGATGCATACATATCATGCAAATTATCACAAGAGGTAGTATTCGATAATATAATTGTTGCTGTATCACGTTTCAATAAATCTTCTTTCAAATCTAAGACTTCAACAAGCAGATAACAAACCTTATCTACAAAATTTTCATTTAATAATACTTTTTCTAATGATAATGCAAAGAATAAGTTGCAATTTAAAAACCACAAATTATTTTGTTCACTAGTTTTTAGTGTATGATAATTTTGATCTGTGATTACAGAATAAATTATGATANAGTATTTAGTTTTAATTATATGTAGTGCTTCATTAATTATTTCTTCTAAATTGCACAAGATATCTTATGACTTTAAGTAGAAAGTCTTTCCTTGGATAACTTTAACAAAAGTTACAATTTGCTTGCAGTTTTGAAATGATGTTTCTTTAACCAGAGAGAAATCTGAGAGCGGCCATCCTATTGTAATTTTCTACGACGGTTTCAGCCGCTGGTTTTAGCCGTATTTCCACAAAAGTGGAACTCAAAGGCCGTTCTACATTAAACGCAAGTCGCAGATCTCGTGGAATTGACCAATTGCAGAGTCAAATCAGCCAATCGACCAACGTGATTGATCAGTTCCACGAGA